GTCAGGTGTCATTCTCCACTCTGACTAGAAGGCCAGAGAGAAGAAGTGTGTCTTTAGTGAGGATTTAAAAAACCCTAGTGTCTCGGCCGACTTCACATGGAGGTGCAGACTATTCCAGAGCCTGGGGCCAGCTGCTGCGAAGGCTTGGTGACCTCAGGTTTTGAGCCTGGTCTTGGGCACTATCAGCAACAGCTGGTCAGCACACCTTAAAGCTCTGGCTGGGATGTAGCGATGGAGGAGTTCGGCTATATTGGCAGGAGCCAGCCCATTTAGGGCTTTGAAAACAAATAAAAGGATTTTAAAATCAATTCAGAACCAAATTGGGAAACCAGTGTAGTGAGGCCAGAATTTGGGTGATGTGGTCACGCTTTTTGTGGCCAGTCAGAAGACGTGCAGCTGCGTTTTGGACTAGCTGCAGGCGTTTAATTGAGGCCTGGTCCATACCCACGTATAGAGCGTTGCAATAGTCCAGTCTTGAGGTAACAAAGGCGTTAATAACCCTTTCTAGGTATTTAAAAGATAAATACGACTTGGTTTTGGCCAAAGGTCTTATTTAAAATAAAAGCAGGAATCGACTATGGTGCTGACCTGCTTGTCGAATTTAAAAGTGCTAGTGAAGGTCACTCCAAGGTTCATGACAGAGGGGAGGATGTTTTCATAGAGAGAGCCCAGAATATCAACCGGAGAGGCTGGAGGTACCGCTCTCTCTCGCTCGCTCGCTCACACAAAATACGCTCAGGCCACACACACACACACACACACACACACACACACACACACACACACACACACAACACACACACACACACACACACACACCACACACACACACACACACACACACACACACACACACACAGCCGAGCTTGAGTGACACACAAAGACCCAGAAGTATGTTGTACTGTAATGTAGCATATTATTTTCGATGGCGTTATTGACTGTATGATCAGTATGTCGGGTGAATAGATCGCCACTGGGCTTACAACTAAAGACACAGCCACGCAAAAACTGCGGCATATTTACGGCTCCTTAAGTGTACTGCAATTTTTGAAGTGCTGGAGCCGGCATTCCGGTGCGTTCCGGCAGCACTACACCACGTGATGACACGTTACGCTCGTGTTGTGTTCAAGGAACCTATCCTTGGCCAGCAAAAACATGCACTCAATTGTTTAATTCTGTTGCGGTCTAGATTTTTTTTCTTTTTTTCGTGTGTTTATAAATAACCTCGAGGGCCGTATCAAATGGTCTCGCGGTCCGTATACGACCCGGAGGCCGGAGGTTCCCCACCCCTGATTTAAACATTAAAGAATACTTTAAGTTAAGGTCTTCTTTTGAATAAGAAAAAAGCGTTGGGGGTATCTACAGATAAATATTAAGCCTGGCAAAGTACTTAACGTCTAATATATTGCATAGTTTATTTTGGCACTTGACAATCATCTTCCCTGAATTTGACTCAGGTGTAACTAAAGTCTGATTTAAGGTTTGTATTTCACGTCATTAATCAGAATCTGCAAAGTAACTAAAATAAATGTAGTGGAGTAAAAATACCAGTTTAACCTCTGAATTGTAGTGGAATAGAACAAAGTAGGTCACCCTTGAAAAAGAGATCTTTTGATCCCAAGGGGCTTTCACCTGGTTAAATAAAGGCTACAAACAAAGTAGTATGCTGCTGTAACAAAAACATTTCCCTACTTGGGATCAATAAAGTATATCTTATCTTATCCTATCTTATCTTATCTTAAGATGATCGATAGCTACTGCCATATTTGCAAGATGTGCCTCTGAACCTTGACAAGTGCATGTTTCAGGCTTATCAATTAACAACAGGAGGGGTCACAGACATAAGA